CTGTCTACAGGTGTTCTCTGATTGGTTGTTTACCTGTCTCCAGGTGTTATCTGATTGGTTGTTTACCTGTCTGCAGGTGTTCTCTGATTGGTTGTTTACCTGTCTACAGGTGTTCTCTGATTGGTTGTTTACCTGTCTGCAGGTGTTCTCTGATTGGTTGTTTACCTGTCTGCAGGTGTTATCTGGTTGGTTGTTTACCTGTCTGCAGGTGTTATCTGATTGGTTGTTTACCTGTCTGCAGGTGTTATCTGATTGGTTGTTTACCTGTCTACAGGTGTTCTCTGATTGGTTGTTTACCTGTGGCTGGTCTCTTTTGAGCCTCGCTCTGACCAGGTGAGGTTTTTTTGGTCGTGGTCGTAGCGAGGATCTCGTTGCTCAGACGGGCGCTGACGCGACTCCCTAAGCGGGGCGGAGCTTTACCTGCAGGGGGCGTGGCCTTCCCCTTGTGGGGCGTGGCCTTCCCCGTGGGGGGCCTGGTCTTCCCCTTGGGTGGTGTGGTCTTCCCCTTGGGGGGCGTGGCCTTCTTTCCTGAGGACCTGTGATTGGATAGAGCCAGGGTTATTATCGTTAACTGAAACCAAAACTAAAACAGGCTTTAAAGGATAGACTCAGCTCAGATAAATTATTAACAACTCAACCTGAGTTCTGTTTGTAGCTACAGACGTCTAGGAAATATACCTGGCTACAAGAAAAACTTTTATATTTTGATCGAGTTTCAGTAGATACTGACTTTGAGGCAGAGGAGTTTTTCCCTGATGAAGAGGTGGTGTTTTTGGGCGTGGCCTGTTGGCTTTTGGGCGTGGCCGGTTGGCTCCTCCCTTTCGGGGGCAGGGGCTGTTGGCTCCTCCCTCTTGGGGGCGGGGGCTGGCTCTTCTTGCTGCAGAGATTACGGGATGTTCATATTAATATAGAGATACAGTATATATATCTTTGGTTTGAGATGAGGGTAAAGTATTCTCACTCACCTCACAACGACTTCTTCCTCCTCCTCTTCTTCCGACTCCTCCTCTTCCTCCTCTGACTCCTCCTCCTCCTCCTCCTTTTCTTCACCCTCCCCCTCTTCCTCCTCCTCATCGATGGAGGATCTCTGACGGGACGGCAGGCGGCTCGATCTTTGTTTGGGTCGACAGTCCGGACAGAACCAGTCTCCTCCAGGAACAGACTGAGACAACATGTGAACTGTTAGCTCAATGCTAAAGCTACACAACAACAACAACAACAATAGGGTTTAATGTGTGTGTGTGTACCTTCAGCTTGGGTCTCAGGCAGTGTGTGTGTGTGTGTGTGTGTGTGTGTGTGTGTGTGTGTGTGTGTGTGTGTGTGTGTGTGTGTGTGTGTGTGTGTGTGTGTGTGTGTGTGTGTGTGTGTGTGTGTGTGTGTGTGTGTGTGTGAGTGTGTGTGTGTACCTTCAGCTTGGGTCTCAGGCAGTGTGTGTGTGTGTGTGTGTGTGTGTGAGTGTGTACCTTCAGCTTGGGTCTCAGGCAGTGTGTGTGGTGTCCTCGATCACAGCCGTCACACAGCAGCATGTTGTCTCCGTCTCCTTTGCGTCTGCAGATTCTGCAGCGAGCGTTGAGGACGGATCGAGACCAGAGGACGCTGCGCTCCAGAGAGGACAGGTGCACAAACACCTGGACGCAGAGGTGAGAGAGACATTATTATACTTTATCACAAACACCTGGATGAGAAATCAGAAACATATTATACTTGGTCACATCATCTCCTATTGGATAGCGTTTAAACACATTAAGTCTAATAAAAGTCCACTTTTAAGGCCGATAAAAGACAGTTTAAAATCTAGTAAAAGTCCATTATAAGTCTAGTATAGAGTGCAGTGTTAGGGGCGGGACATCTCTAAGCTGTTGACCAATCACAACGAGAGCAGACGTGGCTCTGGTTTCAGACAGAGGGTGAATATCATATAATAATGAGTGTTTTCTGACCTGAGACAGACTGGAGCAGGACTGCAGAGACTCTCTCCATCGCTCCAACACCGTCTTACTGACACGACCACTGTCACTGCCATCTGATGAGAGACAGGTTAGAGACAGACAGGTGAGAGACAGACAGGTGAGAGACAGACAGGTGAGAGACAGACAGGTGAGAGACATTGTCATTCTTTAGTCGTACCTTCACTGGCCTGGTCCTCGTCTTTCTTCTTGTTCTTTTTCGTCTTCTGATCCTTCTTAGAGTCTTCCTCACCTGTGTGGGGGGGGGGG